TATATGTAAATGCGTATACAGAACATACAATTTTATATATTTCCATGTCAGCTACTTCTTTATAAAAGTAAACGAAATAAAATTAAATAATATGGCAACTCTGGCATATCTTTTGACATCGGCTGGTGTGAATTTAGGTATTTTAACATTTTTATGCCGTTTCCAAGCCTTAAGCTTAACAAGCCTTAGCTTGTTATTTCCATTTTTTGATAACTAGAATTCTGTAAAGATGGCAACTTTTTTTAAGAAAACTTTGAGCTAAAACTACTTTTTTCATGTCAGCTTTGATAGCTACATCTTTTTTATATTTCTTTACAAAAGTAAGCGAAAATAAATTTTAAAAAATGGCAACTCTGTCATCTCTTTTGCCACCGGTTATATAAATATGTGTAAATTGGGGTATTCCAACATTTTTTCGGAAATTTTCAAGCCTTTATTTTGCAGCTTATTATTTCTATTTTTGGATAGCTAGAATTCTTTGGTGATGGCAACTCTGTTTAAGCCTGCTTTAAGTTAAAAGCTTCGGCATTTAACTTCAAATAAATTATATAAATATTGTAAACAATGGCAACTCTATGGAATTCTATAGTTATGGCAACTCTGTTTAAGCATGCTTTAAGCTAAAATTTGCATAAACTGTTGTTTTATGGGCATTTTGACAACCATTAGCATTTAAATCCAAAAAAATATATAATTATTGTAAATTTTGGCAACTCTACTAAATTTTTTATTGAAAAATAAATTTTGATTTCCTTTTATGTATATACAAATATTTTTTCATATTTTTTTGTTAATCTGTAATGACTTCTTCGGCTCTCATAACTATGATTTTTCTTTAATTAAAGAACACTATAAATGTTATTACATGACAACCCTATTTCAATATATTATACGAATTTGTCAAATTATTATATTTCACATACAAAATACTCTTTGCAAAAAATTTTTACCAAGAGAATCAATTTTTGCAAAAATGTACCGATTTTATAGGTATGTGCTGTCAAAAATGCTTTCGGACTACTCTTTATTTGGCCACCAATGCGAAATGCTTGACTTAAGTTTAATTAAATACGCCTAGTGCTCAAATATGAGGCGTTTTTCAAGATGATATTCAGCCAGCCCTGAGGTTGATATACGGTTCAAGAGTCGCTATTCTATATATAAACTTTCCAGATGAATAATAATAGCTAGAAGCTGTGATTAAAAGCAGTTTATTTACTACAGTCTAATAAAGTAAGAGCTTGATAATTGTTTGAAGAAAAGCCTCAATAGTTCTAAAAAGACTTTTGGAGGTGTGCGACTTTGTGAGAAAAGTATACAATTAGTATTACGCCTAATAACAGAACCAATGAAAAACATTTCGCATTTTCAAAGAAGAGTATTAGAAATGTATGAAGTAATGCTTTTTGAAGACAGATGAACATTTTTATACATTATATTCAGCCGGATATAAGATTGTTATATGGTTTAAGAGTCACTATTCTATGTATAACCTTTCAATATGATCCATATACTCGAGTCGTTTTAATTACAACAGTCCAATAAGTCAACACCTAGATCATTGTTAGAAGAAAGGCCTCAACAGGTCGTAGTACTGTAAAATATGGCGTCAATCAATCAAACACGTGAAATGAGCTTTCCAAAAAGGTATAGCATGACCCGATGCGACGAATAAAGTAGAACTACGTGCTCTCAGCGCCAACTAGCGAAAATACCGCAAGACTTTTTTGACAACCTAATATTAATTTGTTGGACTGAAAAGTGACAGAATGAGGGAATTTTTTTTTTCTTGTTTCCTGTATATTTATTGTACATGAAATAAAAATATATCTATCTATCAAAAAAAAAAAGAGATGAACACTTTTACACAATGAATACGATATTACGATATATTTGTAAAGCATACCTATAAAAGACACTCCATCTAATCTGGTTACGGTCATTAAACATAAATAAAATGACAAACATTACGAATAAAAAAGACAATCGAATCAAACAAACCGAAAGTAAATAAAATGAGAAATAAATTAAAAAGCTATGATAAGAATAATAATAAAAATAAAAGAACTCTTAAGTAAAGTATAGAAAAATTGAAGGCGAATGAGTAAATGAAGACGAGCAAACAATGACGCGCCAATTACCACTACTGACCTACTAAGGCGTGCAGGCGCGTTCATTAATGTTAATGCGGCGAAGACCACAACAACGCACGGCAGAAACAAGTGTGCGCGCGCAAGCAAAAAAAAAAAGTAAAATGAGAAAATGAGAGAAACAAGTAGACGGTACTACAGAGGCAGACGCACAAACAGACACACTGCGCAAAGCGTAGAACGTGAAGCGATGATTAAGCAACGCAAAAGCCGCAGCCACAGAGCTGGCAGGCTCAGCAGTGGTAAAAAGTTGTAGTAGCAAGCTTGTAGTTAAACGTTTTGGCGTCACACAGCGGTGTTCGGTGTATGAAATGCGCAAGCTCGTAGTAGTTGAGCATCCAATCAGCTGTGCGCGTCAGCTATGCTGCTGTGGCGGCAAGCAGAGTCCGATGCAGTCACACAAGCATTAGTATGTATGAATACTTGTAGTTTCTAGCAGCTGGGTGACTTGCTCACTGAATGGTTGAGTGTCTGACTAGCCAAAGGTTCGACCATTTGACCAACAGTTTGTCTAGCTGTCTGTCTGTTTTTAAGTATTGGCTAGTACATCTTCAGCGCCTACACATTACTTTCTGGCATACTAAATTGCACCTCAGTGAACAGGGTAGAGATTGTGTAGTAGTCGTTACTATTAAAAATAGTAGTGGTAAAAGTACTAAATATTAAAAATAGTAGTAGCTAAGATGGTAGTTGTAAGCGTAGTATAAAAAGTAGAAACAAGCAAACCGAAAAGTACTGCGTCATAAAAAATTGATGCCGTGCGTTTGGGTGGTTTAAAAATAGTAGTGATAATTGTAGTAGAAAAACAAAAATGTGGTAGTTCAATAAGTAGAAATACGCAAAAAATTACTTCGACGACAAAAAGTGACAAATAATGGTACAACATAATATTACGAAAAAGTATTAGGAATAATAGTAGTAGATTTTATAGTAGTAGAATTTATATAAATACTAAGCGAATAAATTTGTAATACAAAAGAAAAAAGGTTTTACATATTGCTTAAAAAGTAGAAAAGTTCTTACTAACCTTTAACTGGCCTTATCACATTGATTTTGGCATTTCGTACTAAAAAGGATTGAATCATTTGTCTCTAATGCTCGTTATTGACGGTGGACATCGCCTTCAGTTTACAAAATTTATAGACTGAAGATATATTAAGCAAACAATCCAGTCTAGAAAATAAAAAGAATTACTTCAGCGCGGTTTAGAAATAGTAGTAGGCAAAAATGTAGTAGAAAACTAGAATACATGGCATTTAAATAATGAAATTTTTTCGAATAGTTGTTTAAAACATAAGAGCACATACACATAAACAACGTAAAAAGTAGTAATAAAAATAGTAGTAGACAAAAAAGTAGTAGAAAACTAGAATAAATAGTATTAAAATACTGAAATTGTAAGAATATTTTCATTATAGCATAAATCACCACCTCATAACAGAACTTAGAAAAATGTAAGTCTGCAACTTTCATAATAAGTATTAAAAATTTCGTAGTATTGAATTTGGAGTTTTCATAAATTGTGTATTTGTTGTAATTGCTCATAATAAATTGATAAGAGCAAGATATGACAGACGCCCAATTTCGAGAATAGTAGTAGTAAAATAGTAGTAGAAGTAAAAACTAGTATTGGTAGTCAGTAGCAGTAATAAAATAGTATTGGTTGCACCATAATAGTATGGTAGTTGCAGCCGAAATATACTAATGTATATAATAACTAGTATTGGTGGTAATGAAAAAAAGTAGTAGTAGTAAAATAGCAGAAGAAAAAATAATATTGGTTGTAGTAAAAGAAGAAGAAGAAGAGTAGTAGTACTATCAAAATTCATAAATGTAGCTACAAATATAATAACAAAAAAACAACAACAATTAAACAAATCCATGTGTACAAATGTGGCAAATCGCTCATCACTCGAATGCTACAGCGGCGCTAACAACATGTCTGTTAACACTGTTTTTATTTTTGTTTTTGTTGTTTTTACTCTTTTCACCTTTTCGCTCCTTTTTTGCCTTTCTTCACTAGCACTTTACTGTGGTTTTAGTCTCTTTTAGTAACTTTTTGTTTTTGTTTGTTTTCAGTAGATTTCTGTCGATGCCGCGAATAATAAATAAGAAAAAGTTATACTTCAACGCGTAAATTGCAGACGAGCATTGGCACGATGGCAATATGTGGGAGACGCGCGGAAAGGCATGCGGTAGTAGTAGAAGACACTAGCGGCACTCTTTGCGGCGGCGTCAAATGTGACTGTTATACGAGCGAGCGCCTAACAATACGCCAGAAACGCGCGCATACACACACACGCACGCAACAAAGTCAACAATGCAAACACGCAGCAACATATATATGTTGCGCACACTCAACTACCCACAAACGCTCTCTCAGGCATTAGGAAGCGCGCTTCTTTAACAACCACCCGCCGCCTGCCGCACAGCGCGCATGCTTTGTGGCGCGCTACCAACACTATCAGCAAAAGCAGCGTGCCGCCCGCTACCCTCCACCTACTTGCCGCTTTGGTGCTTGCCAACGGTTTGACATTAGCCGCTGCCGCTCACTTAACTGCCTCTTGCCACTTAACTCAACTTAGCCATGCGCGTCTGAGACTCTACGCCCGAGTCTGAGTCTGGTTCTGCGCGCGGCTTTCATGTTGGCTTATTGGCTGCTGCTGCTGCTGCTGCCGCCTTAGCCACTTCTGCTTTGACTCGGCGCTGCCATCACACTTGCTTTATGGCTTATGGTTTGTCTGCGCTGTTTGGTTTGGTGGCGTTTGGTGTTTGCTGCTGCCTGCTGCCTGCCATTCGGTGTTGATGATGTTTTCGCCGCTGGTACGGCGCACAGTTGTAAACGTGAGTGCCAAGCGTGTGAACGTGATTTTCTTCTTCGCCTTGTTTTGTTTTTGCTTTCGGTTACTTAGCCAAGCGTCGCGTACTACATTTGCCATTTAGTTATTCTGTGAACTGCTAGCAGGAAGTGTTCATGAAATATAAATCGGCCGAAGATAAAACGGCAACGGCATCAGCAATAGCAACGACAACAGTATCAACGTTAAATAAATTAAAAACTCATAAAAGGGAATTAAGGTGGCATATCTGCGCATGTGTACGCATGCATACAACGCTGTGTGTGTATGTGTGTGGTGCGTTGCAGTGAAATACAATTCAGCGCTGAGGTGATGTGTGCATTTAGAAATGTAACAAAGTTGGTGAAATTCATATTTTGTTGTGTAAGTGTTGTTTGCACGTGAGAAAAGTGCATAAAGTGCTTCGAGACAACGGTAAAGTAAGAGTGAAGTTTAAGCGAAAATTAACTTTTTAATATAAAAAAATGAAATAAAGTTAATAATAGTGTTAAACATATAAATACTTCATGCAAGGTGCTGAGAAAATAAAAAATAAATAGATAAATGAAATAAAATGAAAAATATAGAGAAAGATAAT